TTTATCCATCAGAATTTGGTCTGCAGCGAATAAAAGAAGAAGAAATTAATGGACCATCAGAGCTGAAAAATGAAGCTATTGAAAATGAAGACGAAATTGAAGATGATGTATGAAATAATGATTTTCTGTGTGTGTGTGTTTTTATAGTATTTTCTTATTAACAATTATATTGATTTCTTTTTTTCTTAGAATGAAGAAGGTTCGAAATACCACATGGAGAAGTTGAGACAATATCAATTGAACCGATTGAAATACTATTATGCTGTTGCTGAATTTGATTCCGCAGAAACGGCAAACAAAGTATACACGGAGTGTGACGGTATTGAATATGAATCGACTGCAACTAGATTAGACCTTAGATTTATATCTGATGATATGACATTTGATCAGGTATCTCTTAAAATCATATATTTATACATGTTACATCAAAAGTTTATTAAAATATGAAGAATCATATAAGTTTCATGTATGAAATGTTTGTTAAAGGAACCTGAAGAGATATGTACTGAGATACCTGAACCTATCAAGTATCAACCACGACAGTTTACGACAACGGCATTGCAACAAGTTAAAGTCAAGTTAACATGGGATGAAACAAATCCAGATAGACAAGAGTTTACGCAGAAATTAAATACAGGAAACCTACAGGATATTGATGAAAACGATCTACAAACATATTTGGCAAGTGGTAGCGAGGATGACTCAGGTACGATGCTATTTTATTTTGTATATGTTGTTATTTTGTGTCAAATTTAAATCTACACATACACTCTTATTATATTATTTTTCAGATACAGAAAAAAAGAAAGACGTAACTGAGAAAACAAATGATAATTTAGATAAAGAATCAGAAACAAATGATCTAATCGGAAAGTACAAATCTTTACTTAAGACTATTGAAGAAGAAGAAGAGGCAAAGAAAAACAAAGATGTAGAATTAGAATTCTCATGGGGTTTAGGCACCAAAGAAAAAGTTGAAAAGTTAGTGCAAGAAAGAATGAAAAATAAAGAAGAACTTACACCTTTTGAACAATATCTAGAGAAACGCAAGGCAAAAAGAAAAGCTAAGAGAGAAGAAAGGAAAAAGTCTAAAGAAGAAAGTCAGAAAAGCGATTCGGAAGATTCTGTGCCATCTGATGTAGATATGAATGATAAATATTTTACGGACGAATTAAAAAATAATAAATTATCCCATAAAAAAGAAACGAAAAATAATGAAGCTGATGTTAGTTCATTGAATGAGCAGGAAAATAGTCGACATGAAGCTGAATTGGAGTTACTTCTGATGGATCAAGACGAAGATGGTAAAAAGCATTTCAATATGAAACAGATTGAAGAAAATGCAACTATGTCGAAATCCAAACGAAAACGTCTTAATAAAAAGAAAAATGTGCAAGAAGAAGCGAAAGAGGATGATTTCGAAGTTAATGTTAAAGATCCAAGATTTACTGCTTTGTTTACATCACATCATTTCAATATCGATCCTGCGGATCCGCATTATAGAAAAACAAAAGGTACAGAAGCATTAATTAATGAGAAATTGAAGAGAAGAGCTAGAAATGAAGTACACACAGAAAACGTAAGTGAAAGATTTTATTTTATTAACAGCGATTTATATATTTTTTCCTATAATGCATATCGAAACAATTTCAGGACAAACAATTTAAAAAGCCAAAAACAGATGGAAAATTGCCAACAGAATTACAAGCTCTAGTTAAATCTGTTAAGAAAAAAACACAAAATATCACACAGCCAATAAAAAGATAAGGTAATTATATTATCTTTGTATTAATAACAACAGTTAATAAGAAAGTTATGCTTTTTATATATTAATAAAGGAATTGTATTTTTAATTTAAGAGATAATTCTTTTTATTTTACAATTTATGTTATGAAGTATAGAATTTCATTATTGCGTTATTTATTTAAAAATGATAAATTTTTATGGTAATTATTATTATAATTGCTACTAACAAATAATAAATTAACTAAAATTGTGTATAAAAATTATATTTTTATAAATATAATGTATATACAGAGCTCCGAATTTAAATGGTTAAACTTCGGGAGTGCAAGAAAATCGATAAACTAAGAAAAAAGAAATCCTTTAAAGACATCTTCGTTTTTGTTTCGTTTTAAAGAAAATCGCAAAAAGAAATAAAACATAATTTATTGTTGTACTTATTCATTACTTATTCATTTATTTATTCATGTTGTCACTTTCTTAATGTAAATATTGTTCAAAATGTTGATCTCTTGCAACAATGCAAACATTTAGTATGGACAGTTTGTGTTGCAGCCAAATACTGATTTGATATTTGTGCACTGCAATTACAATTCGGTCTCTCAATTGCTTTCTTGAGTTGACTGGCAATGAATAAACTTTCTGCTTCAGGGCCTCCCACACAAAGAAGTTCACAATTTTACTTGCAAATTTTCTCTTAACGGGTATAATGAATTGAAAATGATCCTATTTCTTGCAGCCTATTAAAAGGATATTGGAATGAACAATTATCGACATTATAATTGCATAAAAATCTTCGAATTGAATTGATTGAACGGAATAAGAAATCCTTTTATAGGATTAAAGTAAACGCAAATTTAGGAGATGGTGCAGTGTATTTTACATTAAAATCGAAAAAAGTTAAGTAAGTTTTTAAGTAAATTTTTTTTCGATTTTAATATAAAGTTCATGAAACTTTATCCTTAGAAAGTGAAAAGTGAAAAATCTCCATTAACTTCCATAATTAAAATATTCACTTTTCACTTATCATCCTAGAAAAAAAGTTTCATGATTGATACCCAGAAATGTGAACAAATAAAAACGTTGTCGGAAAGAAATCTGAAGGTACCATTTCATGCAGCTAATGAAAGCTGGCGTTTTACTTCTATTCCATTAATTTTCATATCCAGCAAAGTTACGCTCAAAATTCAATATTGTTTAACTATACAGGGTGAATCAGAGTCGTTGAACCAGCTTTTTACCCTATGAGAAAATAATTGACTGTACATGGTATAATTCAATTAGGTATGACTCTGATTCATTCTGTATATGAGTGCATTCAGAAGAATATGCCAATCAGATGAAAGAATTCACTGATATTAATTGAATTAAAAGTTAAGTTAAAGAAAAAAAATAATTGAAAAGTTAAAAGTTAAATTTGTTTTATTTCATGATTTCAAGTTAAATTTTTTTTAATTAAAAACTAAAATTAAAAACTAAGTTAAAAAGTTAAAAGGCTAAAATGTAACTAATAAATGAAGTTAAAATTAATTAACTTAACTTTTAACTTTTTAACTTAGCATTATTCAACTTTGATTATATTATGTATATTGTATTATTTTGTATTTTTTGTTGGAAACTCTTAAAATTGTATACACGTATAATATGCGAGACAATTTGCTCCCAAAATGAAGTATACTATCATCCTTGTATAAAGGGAAATAATATTTATGTTGACGAAAATTTATATTTTTATCCAGAATGTGGTGAGTATTACTAATATTTCTTTATTTTGTAAGTAATGTTGTAACACTAATATTATAACATATAGAAAACAGAAAAATAATTTGCAAGAATTTGTTGGATGATGCGGAGATTGTGAATGAAGATCACTCAGATCCCAAATCAAGACACCCAGTCTTTTTCATATATCAAACTTCATATAGTAATGTCTATGTTTTTGTAGTTTTTCCCATTAAATTATTACATGGGTAGACAACAATCAATATCAATTTTGATTATTCATATATATTTGCAAATAAATTAATTACGTATATACGTAATTTTTGGACAATTACATTACTATCTGCACGCATGTGCACAGAGCATAACATACTAGGGAATTTTTTAAACCACCGTTGTGTTTCGACTTAAGTTGGCGTCAGTATTTTAGTAAATGTTTTACGATTTGGCAAAATATATTTTCAAAACCGTAAAGTGTGGATGCTTGCGTATTGATCCCGTCTGTCTGAAAGTTAGATAGGCGAACAAGCGGGATAGGATATCTCTTCCTACGTTATAATCTATTTGTGCAACACGTGTAATTCATCGGGACCGATTCGCGCACAAGTGCAGAGAGATATTGGTTATGTTCGCTGTTTGGGTGAAAACAAATTGAAGAGCGATGTAGCGGTAAGTAAGACGGGTCATTCGCGCTAATATTGCAGAAACCTTAACGCACGGTGCACTTGCAGTAACGAGGCATACCCGATTTGTACGCGTGGAGATTTGTTCGATCAATTGGAACGAAAAAGTCCGCATAAATGTACGGCGGCAACGGCAGCAGCAGGTGCAACGACGTCCCCTGCACGGAACATCGAAACAATGTCCGACGGTTCTAAAATGGGCCTATTTGGCTCGAAGGACCGGAATCAGGAACAAAAAGAGAAATCTTCCAAGGACAATTCCCCATCCCGTTATGCACCATATGGCGTTGACAGCGATACCGAAACATATGATACCGAGGCCCTGAGCATGATGGATATCAACGATATCATCGGCGTACAATCCGGCGAACAGATTGGTGATTCAACTCTAGAAAGTGAAATCGCTGCTCTTTCACAGATTATTACAGAATCAAAGGTAGAACCGACCTTACAGGAGAGCTTAAAGCCAGTAACGCAACATAGTTCTACGATACCGAGTCCTACTTCTAGTACTGTTTGTATCACAAGCACTGATAACATTGATATTCCTAATGCCGAATCCAGTATTGTGTCTGAAAAATGTAAAGATAGCATCCATAAACTGCAGCAAGGAATGTCTGATCTTGCCTGTGAAAGTAAGACGCAAGCAGAATCATCAATTACCACAAAACAAAGTGTTTCAGAGAATACAGAAATGGACCTTATAATTAAAAGTGATGAAGCTTCTGACGTAAATATTAACCAAGACACTATAGTATCTCCAGATAAAGTTGGTGATACATACACAGTTTGTACAGCAGAATCTATTTGTACATTGTCTTCCAATAACAAGTCACACACTGAGATTAATTCCTCAACTGTCACGTTAAATGATGATACTGTACCGGAAACTGCCACAGAGAAAAGTGTTGTTGAAAAGACAGAGAATAAAACTGTTGACAAAATAATTGACAGTCAAAATGAAATCAAAAGTGACATAAGGCCTATGATAACAGTTGGTAACATTAGCAAGAGTTTACAACTAATAGGAGAAGCATATAATTCAGAGGATTCAGAGGAAACGGATGTGAGCGACTTGCCAAAAGAGACTGCATCACTTTTTAAAGAAACTCTACTGCCAGATGTTTCTCCAAAACAGCACAAGGAAGACAATTCTGAAGCAACTGATATATTGGAGCAAACTACTGAAACGTCTTCAAAGTTAAATAATACTGCAGATGCGACTATTTCAGAAGAATTAAATGCAAAAGTAGAAAACGTAGACAGTAAAATAGAAGATTCAAATATAAAAGAGTCCGAAGATTCTAATTGTAGTAAAACATCGCAACAAGTTTTAGAAATACAAGAAAATACTGATGATGCATCAAATAAAATAGCGGAATGTATCAATAATGATGTATCGAGTCACATACAAAGTAAAAATAATACTGAAATAAAAATGGATATAACTGAAGAAACAGTATTAGAACATCAATTTTCCAATGAAATTTCTAAGGAAACTGATTTATTTATTAATACATCCACTGTATCGACAATGGAATTAACTGAAAGTACAGACAAAAATAAGGAAAATATTGAAATAGAATTAAGTATATCAACAGTTGCCGAAACAGGAAAGCAAGATAATTCTACAACTTTTAGTGAAAAAGAGACGCCAAATGCAGGAAAAGTAAATGATAATTGTCCTATTATTGATGATGCAAAAGAATGTACAAAAGATATACTTGACTGTGAAGCTAGAGATGTTTCCGTATCTGAATCTCAGGAATCTACTTTAACTGAAATGTCTGATAAGGAATTAAATATGATAGAAGTGACAAGTAAAAATAATAATTGTCAGGAAGCAGATGTTATTAATAAAATTTGTCAGAAAACACACGATGTTTCAGTAAAAACTAAAATTAATGATGATTCTCAAAAAACAGCTTTTATACAAGAGATTGAAAGAACTGCTACAACTTCCAATACTCAAGATAATATGGATGTAGTCAAGAAAACATCTGTGCCAATGAATAAAAATACATTTCAAACTGCATCAGATACAGCTAATAAAGAATTAATTTTAAATGAAGATACATCAACAAATCATTCAGATATTGAAGAAAAGAATGCAATGGATACACAACCTATAGATAGTCATTTGTTAAATGAAGAAAATTCAGATTTGTGCTTTAAAAATTTAACAATACAAAATGATTCAACTAATATTAATGATTCTGAAAAAACAAATGTTTGCATGCAAGAAGATGTTCTTGGGCAAACAGATGAAACATTAACTCCAGTTGAATATGACAAATCTGTTAAACAATTTCCTTTTATGTCAGAAAAATCTGAAATTGATGATACTGCATCTAATAAATTCGAGGAATTACATTCTGCTCCAATCTCGTGTGATAATTCAAGTAACATAATTGAAAATATAAGCAAATTTGAAGTTGAAGAAATAGAAGATGTAGAAAGGAAGATATCTGAAGCGATATCACTCTCTAAGGATGAAGATGAAACTTCAATGAAAAACAAATCAGAAAAAACGCTTGATCAACCTGAATGTATTCAAAAAGAAGTTAGTTCATCTGTGCAGATAGAAACTAAGTTAACTTCGGAAAACACATCTACTAATGTATTATTAGAGAATGATACAAATTCATCATTGACTGAAAATTTAATTGTTTCAGAAGATGATGTAACAGATTACGTGTGCAATAAAATACAGAAAGAAGATACAGTCATGAAAAATATTACTGAGATATCGTTGAATGAGGCAGCAATAAAAGTATCAGAATTAAATGAAGAGAAAATTAAAGAAATTGAAAAAGAAAAAAGTCATAAAATAAATTCAGATTTGGAATTGATAATTTCAGAAGTAGATATCCGGACAAATCAAAAGGATATCAATTTACAAGATGATGAAGATAAAAAATCGGGCGAAAAATCTGTAAAAATATCTGTGGAATCGAAAGAATCGATCGATGATAATGTAACACCGATAATCGAGGAGAATGTGAAATCAATCATAGATGAATCCATTGATGCCAATTTAAAAGAGGTACAATCGAATGTAATTGATATTTCTTTATTACACGAAAGCTCGAACGAAAATCTGAATGCCGAAAAATCAACGGAGAAATTGTCTCAAGATTCGGAAAGTATAGATACTCCAGCTACTGCTCAAACTATAGACACTTTAGAGGGATTTTTGGATATAACTCTTATGTCGGACAACGAAAACTCTTCATTAAAGGATATAAAAACTGAAGATAAAGTCCTAATGGAAGAAATAGTAAATAAAAATATTGATATGGATCTGTTATTAGATCAAGCAAATCAAAGCGAAGCAACCATGACGCAAAATTCAGACTACATAACAAACGTGATTGCTAGTTGTTTGACAAACAGAGATAATGAAATGAGCGAAGCTAATATCAACATATCAAGTAATGATAAAATTACCGAAAACGAGGATAGTAGCTTAAAAATGAACGAAGACATGAGTATGGTAAATGAGACGGCGGATAACGAAAAGATAATAGAAGAATCTCTTGAAACGGATAGCAATTTGCAACAGAATGATTTGGACATGGATTTCGAAAGCAACCGATTAGAGACAGTCGATTTAGAGGAAAGTGAAGCGAAGCTGGAATTGTCGCAGGATATTTTGCTGGAGGGTGTGAGTGAAAATCTTTCCCAACATGCTGATACTCCTATCGTCATCGAGAATTCGCAGTCGAGTTCGGAAATCTCTGAATTAGAGTCTGCGGTAAAATTCTTACAAGAATCCGAAGAGCAGACGATAGACTCTTTGGTACTGTCACCAAAAATGGTGGAGAGTGTCGTCGAGGATATAACGAAGCAGGCAAACGCAGAGCTTTACGTGTCCGATGAAATTGATAATTATGCGAACGCCGAATCCGAATTGGAGCATCTGAAAGACACTGCGGATGCTATTTCCATCTCGGAAGCCGAGATCATATCAGAGGCAGCTAAGTTGGAAAACGAGCGGAAATTCGCAACACAAATGCAAAACGTTCCCAGTATCATTGTGAAGGACACCGAAGAAGAGATAAATGAGACAGAAGCTTGCACATATTCGAAGACATCGTCTGATACGGCTTCTGTCGCAGATAGTTCCTTGAATACACAAACAGTCACACGTATGAAACAATTACACGAAGGAAAAGAAATTGTAACCATTCAATCGTTGCTCACAGAAAGTATTCCGGAAAGTGAGCTGATTCCAGGAATGTCAATATTGGAAGAACGACTGATGGAACCACCGAAGATCGAAATACCTATTCTGGATTCGGCTAAAGTGTTGGAATCTTCCATTAGTCCTAACGATAATCTTCTCATACCGAAGGATGCGAGAACTATCGCGTATTCGAGGATGTTGGAATCACCAAAATCGATTGACAAGATTGAATCGAAAGGCGCCGACACGCCACGTAAAGATTCTGAGAAGCACTCAGATTTTGAGAATGTTGGTTCGCCAAGAATAATCCTGAAGATTGCAAAATCGGCGATCACGGACTGCAGTGAACCGCGATCGCCGAAGAGTCCAAAGATTCGATCAGCTACGAATTCGCCGAATCCGGACGATAGTCCGGGTCAGAAGTTAGGAAAGATTAAATTGAAGTTATCGAAGGGAGGCCACCCCTCTATAATATCTAACGAGAATCTGGACGAAGTCAATCAGTGGCACACTGACAACACATCGTCGTTATCTCCTATCGGCATGAAAATTAAACTGTCCAAATCCGGTGACGCTTCAATCGTGGGTACAGAGAAACACGAAAGTCTAGATGATTCAAAGGAGACAAAATATAAAATTGAAGAGCCGAAAAGAACGGATTCTCCGATCGGTATGAAGATAAAGCTATCCAAGTCTGGAGATGCTTCGATCATCTCCGATTCCAGGCAACAGGATACCAAAGAATCTCTTACAAAGCATAAAGAAAAATTAGAGATACCACAAGGAAGCCCAAAAAGAACAGAATCTCCGATCGGCATGAAGATCAAGCTCTCCAAAACTGGTGACGCTTCTATTATTCAAACTGACAGGCAAGAATCTTTAGAGGAGCATAAGGAAATTACACAAAAGCGAACCGATTCTCCAATTGGCATGAAAATTAAACTGTCAAAGACTGGTGACGCTTCTATCGTATCTCCGGACACTCCTGAAGACTTCACGAAGATAAAGGAAAAGCAGGATTATTCGGAACTACCGAAAAGAACCGAATCTCCAATCGGAATGAAGATAAAACTATCCAAGTGTAAAGGTGGTGCATCTATTATTTCTGTAGACAATGCTGAAGATACAAGAGATAAATTGGAGATACCCGATCCACCTAAGCGCACTGAATCACCACTTGGTATGAAGATAAAGTTATCCAAAACCGGAGATGCATCTATTATACATTCCGAGGTCACAGATGATGTTAAAGAAATAAAATACAAAGACAAATCTGAAATGTCGCAAGACACTGTGAAAACATCTGAATCTTCTGGAATCAAGATCAAGATGAAGACAGGCGAAGCAACATCATCAGGCTCGCCGGATGTTGCTGAGGAGCAAGAGATATTCCAAGCCTCCGAATCATCAACAGGTGGCATTCCGAGAATCAAAGTATCCAAATCTGGGGATACATCGATTGTTTCTAATAAAACGGAATCGACTGAAGATTCAAGATCACGGGAGAGTCAGGTAGAAGCATCAAAGAGAACAGAATCTCCACTTGGTATGAAAATCAAACTGTCCAAGAGTGGTGATGCTTCTATTGTGCAGAGCGAGGCTATAGCTGAAGAGCATCAAAATAAGATTACTCGTGTGTCCGATACGGAATATTCAAAAGGTGGCGACTCATCTCTCGGGATGAAGATCAAGCTATTCAAGTCAGGTGATGCTTCAGTAGTTGAGACACCTTCCAGTTCTTCCGAAAAGAAAGACAAGCAACAGAGACGCAGAGATACCGCCGAATCGCCGCTGGAGATGAAGATCAAATTGTCCAAAACTGGTCACCCAACTATTGTAGCATGCGATAATCACGGAGAGTCCTCCATGCCCAAAGGTAAGGATCCAGCAACTCTGGATGCAGCAATGAATTTTTCTCATAGGTATATAGAGCACGCTACAGCGCATAAGGAATCCACATTGAAAATCCTCAAGACTAGCAGTCACCATCCATCTATTCTGCAGAGCAATCGTTCTGAACTGACGATTGAGCCAGTGCAGGTGCAGAGCAGAAAGCAACCAGCAGAAAATGTTCAGCAGCAAATCGAAATATCGCCCAAGCGTAAAGATGTAACGATCTCTCCAGTTGAGAACAAAAAATCTAAGCTGGAGACGCAACTCTCACAGATCTTGCCGGAAGTTACCATCCAACCAGTATTGTGTCGGGATCAGAAACAACAACAACAGCAACAGCAGCAGCTGTTGTTCGATCCTAAAACGAGTCTAATCAGTCGACAGCAGATGAATGTGATCAACCAGGAAATCAGTATCACACAAGTACGGCCAGACAGTGCTTCTGACAAGTTTAAGGATACGTGCAAAAATTCACCAGGTGGATTGTCGGATTGCGAGATCATCGAACATCGTCCAGAACTGATAATTGTCAACGAAAATTCGAACTCCAGCCAAGATGTTGTCATTATAGAGGAAGTGACCCCTAACAGAACAGCCGATATCAAGGTGCCAAAAAAGAGAGGAAGACCACGAAGAAATCCCGCGGCACAAGTTCAGCAGTCTCCACAAATGCTGATGTCCAGAGATCCCCTAGCCCTGGACGAAATGCAGCAAGTTCCTGCGCAACAATTCGAACACAGGGAAAATGAGAGACCTAAGAGAACCTGCAGAAACCAGAAGAGTTACGCTCCGCCTAAAAGAGGTAGAGGACGAGGTCAGTTTCTTTTATAATTAATACTAATACATGAGTAAAGTGTAAGTATTTAATTTTAGAAATTGATAGATTCACATTGCGAGAAATAGAAACTATGCTATAAAGTATTCGCGAAAGTACTCAAATATTATATTTACATTTGAAACATTATAGTTAAAGATAGTTAAAAATTGTAAATAAAAAAAATATGAGATAAATTATCATTGACGCGATAAATTTAACATATTAATTACTTTAAATATTTTAATTATTTTAATTATTCTATGATACATCTAATTAATATATTAATTTATAATTTAATTATATTTATTACTTAATTTATTAAATTAAAAAAAAATAGATTCTTTAATAATCCGTAAGAAGATTCTTATCTATGTAAAGAGCAATTTTAGAGATGCAAAAAATGTTTCAATGAACTTATATAGTTCAATAGAAAATCAAGATAAATCATAAATATAAGAAGAATTCTAAACTCAATTGAAATAAATCAATAAATATTGAAGAATACCTTTATGAGCCGACACAAGATGACAGTGTACATATAATTTATTCTATTAAACGAAATATTTTACTATACCATTTTTATCCAAAATATCAGAAAGAACAAAAAGATGTTTTAAGATTCCTGACATTAATATGCCATATAAACACATTAATAAATCATGGGAATTCATTAAAATATTTAAGCATAAGCTTCCCATTATGTCACATAATTAATGTAGTACAAAATTGAATGCAAAGATCGTGATGCGTCTTATGTAAGACAAACAAGTAGAATTTTAAAAAAGAGAATTAACGAGCATAGAAATCATACATTGGAATTCGACACAACGATTTGTGATTACGGAGCATAGATTGGAAAATTCACACGGTTTCGACTGGGACAATATCAACATTTTTTATGAGGTCATATTTTATAGAAAAGACTAATTTTAGAAATGATACATATAAACAGACGAATAGTCTGAAACTTATAAAATGACACGGACTTTTAGACTCTACATATTTTTATTTATTATGACTTGTTGCTTTCTTCTCTTCTTGATCGTACATTTCTATATTACTGTCTTTACTTCTGTATTACTGTCTCATTACATTCTTAGCTCTTGGTCTGACAATGCTTCAAATATATTCCACACATTTACATTTACATTAAGTGTTGATGATTATCTTTAAAACTTATTTTATATAATAATGTTTTAATAAATGTTTAATAAAACATATTGTTTTATTATTTAGTAAATTTGCCAGTTTGATGTCATTCTGTTATTGGGCTAAATATATTTGAGGAGTTATGCGCAATATCACCGATCTAATATTCTTACGTTCATCAATTAATCTGATTATAGAATGATTCAATACATTTGTAAGATTATTTAGTTTATATTTCATTTTATTATGTATAAAGATAATTGACACTATTTATTGTATTATACTGAAGAGGACTCGAATCAAGGGTCGAAATATATAGATATATATAGATATGTAGATATGTAAATAAAAATTTAAAAATAATAGCAAAATTACACTGAAAAACTTTCTCTGATAGGAAATGTCTGCATCATCTTTTTGCGAAATTGATTGAAAAAGGGATAGGAAGAAAAAGATACAGAGTATAATGAGACTATACAGTCAATAAATAATTTTATAGAAAAAAATGAATAGAAAAAAAAAGACATAATTTCCACTCCAATACCTATTTATATTTTAATATCTCAATCATTTTTCTTTTTAACAGGAAACATTATTTTTTTCTTTGTTGTATCTAGGTCGCGGTAAACGCAAACTAGATAACGTGGAACCTCAAGTTGGAAAGAAGGCTCGTGTAGATCAAGATTTAGACGCTATAGAAGCTTCGACAATGGCTGTCATTACTATAGACGAAACACCAGCACAACAAGAGTCACTTCGAAAATCATCAGAACAACTGTACAAAGCGCTGAAACAACCGCCCATAGATCGTAAAAATATGAGTTCCACATTAAGTCGCAAAGAAGAAAAGGGGAAAAAAGATTGTAAAGCCTCGAACTCTGAGATCGTGACATTAGACCCTGCCAGGTTGTCGGATGTTCAAGAAGATGCGAAGAAAGCATCTACGAGTCAGAGTCCATTGGTCTCGAAAGTTGACGAACAGCCTAAAAAACCGACCTTAGAAATCGTCTGTGAGAAAACGCAGAAGTCAGCAGCAAAACATGCTGAAAATAAAGGTAAGATGTCAGACGGGATTAAAGAGATACCTGTACCTCCCGGACATTCGAATTGGCTGACGCCAACGTCAAAGAAGCAAGCAGATTCAACAGCCATTAGAGGTGAAACAGTGTCGACAGTACAAGTGATCGATGAAGAAACAAGAATGAGCGCCGAATCCGGCTCAAGATCCCAAACACCAGCTAGAAATATACCAGCACCAAGTATGTATTTACATTAATATTAACACATATATATTGTTATTGTAATACAATAAATAAATATTATGCAATGTTAAAAATAAGAAACAGTCATAATTAATATAGTGATTTAACGTTATTATTTCATTGTTTTATTTTAAATTTCATATTTTGTGTTATATATTGTATAGAGAGTGTATTAGTATATTTTAATAATATAACTTAATATTTTTTTGTATATATTGATATTACATTGATATTTATATGATTGTATTTCTATTTATCTATTTCTTTTTTCTTGTTTATACTTTTTATTTGTATAAAATCTTTATATTGAAAAACTAATCTCTAACTCTTGTGTTTAATTAAAATCTGATTAAAAATGTAACTTTATAAAGAATTACAAAGTTATATTTTCATTAATAGTATTTATTTGTAATATGTAAATGGAATTATATTAAAATA